ATCCAAGTGAAAATGCCAATCAGCCAACAAAACGAGATAACAGGTTGGATGTGAGTGAGAGCTCCAGAATTTGTCCTTGGTCTGTGATTAGCTTTGGTCCAGATGTGACCATAAGCAGAAAATTTTAGAAAGGATGCTTTTGAAACAGTGATATGACAGAATGTGTGGGACTGATGATGTCCTTGGTATGCTCCTTCCCAAGTGTTTTGTGTATGTGTGCATGTATGCTCTCATACGAGAGCAAAGAACACCCATAACCAGAGTGTTCAGTTCCACTAAAACTGTAAATACATATAAGCTTGAGATGCTCCTTGTTGAATAGCAAATGTGATTCAACTTCATGGTTACACATCAGTCAATCAACAGTCATACAATATGCACCTTGATGACAAAAATGTCTGCAGTCACATTCAGCCTATTTCCTTACTGTAAAATATTCTTCTAGCAAAAAACAAACAAACAAACAAACAAAACCCCACAAACAAACTAAAACCCCTCTATTTGTATTTACTATTCCTTAAAAGGAAAGGAGTTAAAAAAGCCATTGATGACAAACTGTAGTTATTCTCTCACATACCTGATCATCTGTCATCCCCATTTCCTTGCATTGTTACAGCAATTGTTTATCTTGTGTTTGTGTTAGTCTCCATAACACACTAAGAGTTTCTCTGGCCTCTTGGTAAGAAACTCACAAAGAAAGAATGGAGAGGTTGAGGCACAGAAAACCATAAGGAGGGACTTCCTAATTGTAAAAAGAAGACTTAAAAGAAGTTAGTGGAAAATACACAGACTGGAGAGAGCAAGAGACTTTTAGTTGAGTTCAGGAGGTCAGTTGGTGAAAAAAAGTTATGTGGGAAAAAAAAGTGTAGAGGCAATTGCCTGAAATGCTTACATGTAAATGAGAAACGAGAATGATGGGAGAGATCAAGTAAAGGACAGTGGGAAGCCGATGTAAGGTAAGGTGGGAGAAAAGTGAATAATAAGTGTGTTCCAACAGTGGTTGAGAAGTCAGCATGACAATGCAAAGAGGAAAATTATGTGAACAGACCGATGGGAAAAAAAGATTTTAGTGGTGATATTTCCCATGATGTGTAAGGAGAGGAAACCATGGAATTTTGAGATGCTTTTGAGGTAAAAGCCTTAGAGCTTTACTAAGAGGTGACAGAGTTCTTCTCTAAAGTTAAAAAATCTGAGACTACAGTTTAATGGATCAAAGATTCTAAACAAAGAAAGATCTATTAAATGTTAGACATTATGTGGATTCAGAGCAATGAGCTGTATTTCCTATGTTGTCTTCAAATAGCTGCCAACCAACCATTTAGTGTGAAGTCCATGATATTTTCTTAAGCACTTGTGGCACTGCAAAGTGTGAAGACCCTTCCTGAGAGCAAAATAGTCCTGCGGGGGGCTTCTCAGGGTGAGAGAACAGCTACGATAAGGATTGTGAAACAACCTGGTCATACTTAGCATTAGAGTAGAAGGCATGGTTTGAGGGAGATTTCTGGCTGTAGAAGACAACATCCATTACCCTTTTGTGCCTCCGGAAATTTAACATGTTTCTAATAAATCTTCACTATCCTTATCTTGATCAGAACTTGTGTTTTCCAAACTGAATGGGAACTACTCACCCAGTAGGTTCACAATCCCGCAAGCAAAGCCTCTGGACACTCTGCCCAGGCAATTCTCTGAATAATTAAACATAATTTTTTTAGTGGAAAGGCGAGAGAAGCACCTGCCTGGCACACTCCAGCTGTTGCACCTAATATGCTCGCTCGGTGTTTAACACTTTTTTATTGGTTCTCAATTTGCAAAAATTTTCTGCTGTACTTTTGTATTTAATTATCAGCACCTGTCTGGTAATGGACTGAAGCAGCACGAATGTGGCATGCTGACCGTTTTGAGGATTCCGGTTGGTAAGACCGCTGTAGAAAGGAATAAATGGTAAATGATAATACACAGCAGTAGAAATATAGTACCTCCTGCATTAACAATTTCTATTTGTATTTAAGAACAAATCTGAAGGAAACCATTCACTATGCAGCCTTGTTAGATGCTTCCCACTGTAAATCTGATAACAATGGAAAAGTCTCTTAAGTAGATTTCGCCTGGCAGTGAATTAGACAACTATAAGGCCACTCTTTTTTTTTTTTTTTTTTTGCCATACCTGTTTCTACCTTAGATCCTTTACACCCACTTTGGTTTATCCAAGATTCCCGATAATGTCAGTAGAAATAGTGCAAGAAAAGGCTTGTAGAATCTGGTTCCTCAGGCGAGTGCCTAAGTGTATATCTGTAACTATCCCTTAACAGATCTTTTCAAAGTAGTTCTGGGCTTGGTAAGCATCACTGGGACAGTGGACCTCCCTTCAGAATGCCCACTGCTGTTCTCCCAGCAAGAAACTTGCTATACGTGAGAGCAGTCTGCCACCAGTGAGCTCAGTGCTGCCGTGGTTGTACTGCTGCTCCTTCCCCAGGGCTTCAGCCTTAAAAGGATCTTCCGCACCATCTACTAAGTGCAGAGAGCTCCTATGAGCTGCTAAACCTAAATGCAGTGGGTTGCAGAAGATCCTTTACAATTCACAAGATTGGACTTCAGCAGGCTCAGCTCACACACGTCTAGCAACTCAATTCTGGCCTTAACATTTGTATCAAATGTTTAACGAGACATCGTGGCTTGTGCAGTGTGAAACCTGCCTTAAAAAAATACATGCCAAATCAGTTCCCCCTTGGTGCGCTGGAGTGCAGGGGCCCTATGGCAGCTGAAGCACAGGAAAGCAGCAAACAGCTGCTGAAAGAGCCATTCCCCAGTGGAGTGTTGGTCCTTTTACTTCAAAATATCCAAAGGCATGTATCTGTGGAAAGTTTCTGTGTTCCCCTGAGTTAACCAGCTTCTGCTTTTGAAGAAGGTGTGACGACCCGTATTCCCAGTCCTGCTGAGGCTGAGCTCTTTGCGATTTGCTGGAGAAAGGTACTATCTGCTAAGTACATGGTGGCACCTTTTAATGGATCTTTTTGTGGATATTTTTTAAATCTCTTTCTTTTTTACTGCCAGGGTGTGATTCCACTGGCCAAATGCACTTGAATCCCTGTATGCAAACCTGCTGGAAGACATGGGGGTCTTCTGGAATAAATATGAGGAGAATTTTCCTCCAAGTTTCAACACTATCAAATCCATAAAGTCTACTTAGAAGTTATAGTAGAAAGAGGGTTCTGCATCTCTTTAAAGACACAGTGTGAAAAATAAATAAAATTGAGAAGCACACGGTATACCTGGTTCATCTCAAACATATCCAGATACTACCCTAGTTTGTGCAGAGCACAGCAATCACGTCTGTAGAGCCTCTCTGAGGGAAGGAGTGACTGAAAAAGACCCCCAGGTATAGTCCTTCCATTTCTGTTCTAGAAGGGGGACAACTTAGCCTCGGAGACCTAATATTGCTGTACAGTATAAACTTTTAATAAGTAGTAGACAATTTCAAAGAGCTTGTGTTCTAAGCTCCTGATCTTTCCAATGCTTACATGCTTGCTTAATTTTTTGGCTCTGAATTGTCCAGTTGAAGTCAATGAGATTACTAACATGCACAAAGTTATGTCTAATTTTTTTCTCATATGGGAGCAAATATAAAGATAGGATGTGAGAAAGGAAGTATTATTATCCTCATCTTGCAGACGAGGAACTGAAGCACAGCAAAAAAAAAAAAAAAAAAAAAAAAGAGAGATCCTGATCCTCCACAGAGTGTGTATCTGCTTAATTATCAAGCATGAGTAATTTCCATCAGGTTTGCCGTGCCGTCTGGTCTGAAGCATAAGCATTTCAGTGACTGTCTCTGCCACCGATTTTGAGTAAGTTGCTTAAGTTCTGGTCCGGTGGTTAAATTCAAAAGCTTAAAAAGCGCGGGACGCGAATGCCTGTGTTGAAGTATAGGAGGACGATCTGAGCCCTTAGCCTGAGCTCTGGAGCGTTACAGGTGGATGTGTACCGCTGACGCCCTGTGACTCCCGGCCGCATCGCTGTGCCTGGCCGCTGCCCGCCGCGCTGGGAGACCCGCATGAGTCCGGTGCCGGGAGCGCCCGGCGGGGCGGTGCGGAGCCCGGACACTCTCCCGCGCCTCCAGCTGCGCGCAGCCGGCGGGGCGCCCCGGCAGCAGGTACCTCGCCAGGTAAAGCCCCTCCGACCCCGTCGGCGTCCCAGGCACGACCTCGACTCCGGCCCCGTTCCGCCGGGGCGGGGGCGTGCGCGGAGCGGGCGGGGGCGGCGGGCGGGCGGGAGAGCGGGAGAGGGTGGGGAGGGACCGGGCGCCGAGCCTCCGCCCGCGGGGCAGCGCCGGTACATGGAGCGGGCGCCGCCACTGCTGCCGCCCGCCCCGGCCTCGGCGTAGCAGGTACCGCGGGGCGGGGGCCCGGGCGGGCACCAGCCCCAGCCCCCGGGGTGGCGGGTCAGCCCCGGGCGGCTGCGGTGCGCGGGTCAGGAGGGGTTGCCGGTAGCGTTAAGTGTGAGACTGCGGAGCCCGGTCCCTGTCCTCCCATCCCATCGCATCCTATCTATTTCTTCCCCTTCTCCACGTCCTACGTCCCACCCGCTTTTTTTTTTTTTTTTTTTTTTTTTTTTTTTTTTTTTTTTTTTTAGTTTGGAAACATTGATCCGCAGCTTGTGTGTAAATCCAGGCGGTTTTGAGTGCTTCCTTAAAATTTTAGAGATGAGTAGCCATGAGTAGCCATGAGGAGCTGGCCGGGAAGGGGTGTACATTGACTCAAGTGCGGACCGGTGTTGTGTTTGCCTCCTCGAGTCAGCCGCAGCACTTAGGTTCATTCAAAGCCCGAGTTCCAGTTGCTTGCGCCCGTAGTTTGCAGAGGGGAGGCAGATACGGTGGTTGTCAAAACTGTTAGGAAATATTAAAATTAGCAGCCCCAGTGCGCCTGAGGGGAAAGGCTTTAGAGAAGTTGCTGACTTCCGAATAGCGGTGCTACCAGAAGTTTTCCTCCTTGCCATACAGCCTGTCACAGCTGGAGGTTCTCTTTCACCCTGTTCCGCAAAGTTACCCTCTCTGTGAAGGGACGATTTCGCTCCGTAGTCGTTGTTAAAGAAGATGTGCATAGTTAGAAACTGTGTTTGTGAAGAAACGAGTTCCCACTGCAGCAGTCCGTTCTAAGGAAACTTTTAATTTTGTGCTTGAAGAAACCTGATTACTACTTGGATTACTTTTCTACCTTGGTTTAGAAGGTATGGTAATGCTGCCAGATTTTGTGCAAAGTATTCTGCTTTCCACATTGTTAAAAGTGAATAATACCGTGTCAGAAAATTTTGTAGTGTATCATTGCAAATTATCTCAAAAAATGAGATTTTTGTGAGATGCAAGAATTTTTAGACTGGTATGGCCACTGGCTTAACCTGTATAAATTATTGTAGAGGAATATAATGTTGTTTCTTTTTACTTTCCTTTTTTTTTCTTTCTTTTTTTTTTTCCTTTCACTGAGTCTGCTTACACATGTAAGTGTAAGCAGTATTATCAAAGGACTTTATGTTGGGATCGGAAGTTAGAATTAGATCTTCCTGACTACTTATTTTTCTTTTCAATATCTGCATGCCACCAAAGCTACATCTGTATGTGTTTACTGTCTAGATGTCCAAAAAAACCCTAAATGAAATAAACCAGGTATATAACCCTGATTATTTTTCATGCGTTCACATTAGCAACCTATTTGCCAGACTTTAATAGTTTCGTTTCAAATTTTGAAGCTGTAATGCATTGTAAGGTCCAAATCCTTTAAAAGACGCACTCTGTTAGCTTCGGTTGACTGCTCACATCAATTGTAACTCACATGCATACTGGAGTACCATGTAGTATGACTCTCTATTAAGCATTATAAATTATCATTGAAATGTAAAGAAAAAGCATATTAATATACTGCATTTAGAAATAGGTACTAAAATTCCTTTTAAATACTTGGAAAGACTTTATCTGGATAATCAGCTAAGCACAGGGGCAGATTCTGAGTTGCTTGTGGCACTGCTCTCTCACCTTGCTGGTGAATCGCATAGTTTAACGTGTTTGGAGCCTTAGTGAAATAGAAAAATGAAGGATGAGATGACATTCTTATATGAAAATGTAGTTGCTTCTGAATTTTCCAAACCACATTTTTGCCCTTAGGTAACTGTTTATTTTTTGTTTTTTTCCTCTACTGAAGGAAATTGTAAGTCCAAAAAGTGGGAATAGATTTGTTCATGTGATGCCCAGTATTCTTCTTCATGGATCAATATAACAGTAGTATACAGTAGTTGGTACTAGATTTGTTTTCCAAAAGGTGTCATTGCTTACAAGCAGAAGTTTCTTTCTAATATTGTATGCTCTGCTTTGATTTTGACTTTAAAATGTTTGTCTAAAACCAGAATTAAAAGTACAGGATATAATGCTTACACAGACCTATGCCCTCCACCCCCTCAAGATACTAGATCACTAGTAATCACTAGAAAAACTCTGCCAAGTTGTAGTTGAATGGCTGTATGCCTTATACCTTTATCAAGCCTTTGAAGCTGATGCCTGGGGATATAAGAAACTAAGTGTAGACCAAGTGCAGGACCAAGAGCTCTTAAAGTGGGAGTTGTCCTTATCGTGACTGTCCTTAGGAGAACTGTGGGGAGGGGGAAGTGTCCAATATACTGCAGAGCTCTGTAGTTTACTTAGTTCACATTTCTATTACCCCAGACTGGCATCTGACCTTAAAGGTTTTCTCACAAATATTAATATTGGTGACTATCCGTGTGCTCTTTTTCTTTTTCCTTTTTTTTTTTTTTTTGGAGTAAATTGTACGAAGCTCAGAACTTGATATACTGTAAGTTTAGAGTGAAAATAGAAATAGAAATTTTATCTCTAATGACAAGGTGAATTTAACATAAAAAGCCAAGGAGAAATCAGGTTTATCCACTGAATGAGAAGACTGACCAGATGGAAGTCAATCGAAGTCCAGTGCTGGTCAGCCTCAACAGCCAGGATTTCAAACCTGATGCACTGATACCTGCAAGAGTCCTCTACCTACTGGGTATGACTTCCAGGTGAAATGACAGGAATGCAGAGGCATAATGTGAAATTGTACTAACTGTCCTAATTCAGTCAGAAAGGACTAGTGGACCCTGATATTTAAAGAGGTAGAAAGATCACTAATCTCTCTGGTCCAATGTAATAATGGGAAGACAGGAGAGAAGACTCTTGTTTCTTTGCCCTTCATGGCCATAGTAACTCTCAGCAGAGTATTTCTCAGGGTGGCTACTTAACTCCAAGTGATCAAAGTGAGTTGATGTATTTTCAGTAGGTCCCATACTCAGGAGTTGCAGTAGAGACAAGCTTGTTATACACCTCTGACTTTCCACCTCTGCTCCCGGCTGCCAGTGCTTCCTCCAGGAATGATCTGGTTGCTGGTTGCCTTACATAAGCACGAACAATACCTTTGTCATTTTTGTTACATGCAGTGTACAGTAAAAAAATGCAATAGTCTCCATCTCAGCATTACTATAGTAGTTTTGCTTTCCTTTGTAGACCTTAATACCAAAAACCTGGTCTGCCTGCCACTTCCCCTGCATAGCAATGCAAAAATGTAACTGGAGAATCAATCCACAGAGTTTTACAACAATGCAAAACTTCTTCCTCATCATTAAAATTGGATAATTTCAAAAGGAAGCCAAAAACATTTCCAGGCATTTTTTATTTGAGCTTAGGTACTTCTTACACTAACACCACAATCTTGCAGAAAACAAGGAAATGGGTCCAATCTGTATTTCAGCAACAGAAAACAAGGGCATAATGAATCCTATGCTGTTCTGGCAGATCATTTTTGGCAACGTTCTCTTAAAAAGTCCAGAGGATATCGAAAGTCATGGATCATAGACTTATTGTGTGGCTCTTTGTCAGGAAAACTTCCACTGAAGACTTGTGCGATTTTTTTCCCTTCTGTTTTATGTGCAAGAAGAGCTGGGTCCATTGTGAATTTTATTATTTTTTGGTCAAGATTCACATATGTACTTGATTACATTTTGACCAGTCATTACTTTCTACTGTTATTAAAAGTAATAGAATTAGACCAAAGAAAACATAGTAAAGAAGTAGAATGTAGTGTAGGAGTAATGGGATTTTTGGAAAAAGTTTTCATCGTTATGAGAGTACGGCAGGATGCTCTGCTGGCAGTGTAGTGGGCTCCCCTGGAATTCCCCTCCCAAGCGACAAACTCCACTTTTCCAGCAAGTATAAAATCAGTCAGAAAGAAAGAAGAATACCAGGAATACATTATGTCACTTGAGGAGTGGAAGGTAAGAGCTCTGTTCATTTTTTTCTGGGACTATGATTCTTTAGGAAGCCTTTAGAATGCTTGCAACTCAGTGCAAGAGTCAAAAGAGAAAAGACCTATTCCTCACTGGCATTTTTTCTATAATCCAAGGATTATTTTTGCTCCTCATCCCACCGCTGGAGGGGAACAGCATTTAGATATGAGTGTGAATATCATCTGAAGCAAGGCAGGCAGCCTCAGTCCTGTCAGCTTTATGGCAATTTTTAAATGGGAGGCTACTTTAAATATCTTCCACTCATCGAAAGTAGCTGCAGTTTTATCTGCCTGGTGGCTATCCAGCAAAAGGAACAGACTTCAGCTGGGAAACTCCCTGCTTCCAATGTGAGCTGTGGCTTTTTGTCCCTATGTCTGTAATCAATGCATAAACCTAACTACAACTTGGAGAGTTTTGTTTGCTCTCTAAATTTAAACAGAATTATGTTAGTACCATAGCGTTTTGATGCGTCGTTATTACGATGCAACAACTTCTGCATTACCCTTCTCCTTTAAGACACACCTTCCTCCGTACTTTAGGCTGGTGCACAAGAAGAGATTACAGGGTTTTTTGCACTAAGCAGGTTATTACCAACAGTGACTGCAAAAGTAGATCCTAGTTCTGAGAAGATACATGTATGTTCTTAGCTTTATTTGCGCTGTTGCAAGTTCATGGGGATGGGATAGTGCAGGTTCGGGACCTGGATGGCACGCTTGTGCTTCTTGTATAAATGCCTCAAAAGGCCATTCAGATTGCAGATGTTGATGAGCAGTCACAGTGAAATCATCATATTTTTTAAGCAATGGGAATTGTCTGCTTCTTTTGGTTATTTTGCTTATTTCATGTGAAAGATTTACATTTCTTCTTCTGATCTCAGTTGCTCTAGCTTTCTCAGTAAAAGAGAAACTTGCTCTGTAAGAGAGATCTGATTCCCCGCTGAATTGCTTCATTTTTCCGCTTGTTTCAACTCACTAAGAACAGCAGAGCAGTTGCAATATAAAGCTGGAATTGTCCATAGTAGGTTGGATCCAAAATATATGCAAAAGCAGAGTGAGTTAACTCAAATATGTAGTGTGGAGAAACTTGCTAATTAATTTTAATTTTAGTTACTTTTACGTTTATTTAAAGGGGGAAAAAAATCACACAGATGTCTAATATGCTTATTCAGGCTGGTAATTTCCTTTAATAATCCGTAACAGCCTGAACAGTTTGAAGGGAAATTAGGAAGCAATTCTGTGATCATGAAGCACAGTTACTGAAACCTCCTATAATTTGGACAAATTAACTACTGATGTATTGTTGAGGATACTTGGCAATAACACTTCTAGATGTAGAGGGATTCTTTTATGTTTTCTCTGTTGCATATTTAGATATGCTGTGCTGAGGACATTCTATGCTTTTTAAATCCTATATACATATAAATACAAAAAACACAGTTTCTCATGTGCTGTTTGCCTTCTCTTGAGTGAGAGCCCTGGAAAAATATCCAAGAGCTCAATTTGGCCACTTGAGAATGTGCTGTGTTCTTAGATTGAGTGCCTTAATTTACACCCCTCACCTTTTATAGTCAGTTTATTTATAAGATGGAAATGTGTGCATTTTCTTTGTCATGGTGAATTTATTCCACTTTTCTGCTTGATTTTTAGTGAATAAAGGTGACAGGGTTTAATGAGTTAATAAAACTTGGCCTTAATTAGGAAAATTAGCTTCATATTTTTCTCATATTGTGGAAACGATTTATAATGACTCTGGTTGCAATTCAAAATCTTGAAGGAAGAACCTTTTTCATATTTGCAATGATATCAAGTCCAGTAATTTGCACACAAAGTCAATAAAAGAATGGATTTGTTTTTATTGTCTCCTTTAGCGATGAATTGTTACATGAATATAGCTCAAGCAGTGAGAATTCT